ATTAAACTGTATCCATTACTCTCCATTGAACATAAAACACAATTAAACACCACTACACTCTAATACATTTACTCTCTTATTGAATAAATCCATTTTCACCTACCATTGCATCAACCTGATTCACACCATATACCACATAACCACCATTACCAAAATGCCTCACCAAGTACACTATCCCATCCCTCCACACATCACCACCACTTATCCATATCACATATGCTCGTTTGGTGATCTACTATGCAACTAACTAATAGCATATAACTCATACACTCGTTGATAATATTAAATCCACGGCATAACCCCACACAAATCAATTCTCGTCATCATTCCTCACTGTGTCATAAATTAAAATTAATTATTCAATGACTAAAGCTTCTGATATTCTACAGAACTCCAGTAACTCAGACACAAACACTCACACTTCCCGCAACTAACTTTACAAAACATCATGTATGTCAAAGCACCTAAACTATACAATACCACCGAGTAAACTTAAACTACATTCACATTTCATCATCCTTCAAAAATACCATTAGAAAACATCTTATCTCCCTGATACACCCCGTCAACTAACTACACGAATACCACCTGGTGGTTCACACTTACACTCACTCACTCATTTGACCATAAACGGAAATATTAATCTCAGTCTTAAAATAATGAATCCTGTGATACTCCAATACTGAAACTATGTACTGTGCCAAAACAAAAGCATTCACATTGCTAAACTCACAAACTAGTATTTAGTCACTTAGCCATAATACCAACTTACCTCATAATTTGTAATATTTTACAATTAAGAATAAAACTAAGTATGCCCGAAATGCCTAGCCATGCTAAGCGTTCTAGTGGTACACTCTGTAATCACAATTTTACTACATGTAAACCAAACAATAACCAAATTTCTGTAAACTCAGCATTGTAATCCTTATAGAGAATAAACTTTGAATTGAATTGAATTGAATTGAATTGAATTGAATTACTACTATTACTACCATTACTACTACTACTACTACTAGAAGAGTGGGTAGTGTTGGTCTACGCCGTAGAGCTCTTTACAAGTTATCGAAGACATTCCAGGATGCTGGAAATAACTTCCATAACTTTGGTAATAGGACATGACAATTGTTCCAGAAATTTTGCCCTTGTTCCTATACACAAGCTTTGAAAATATGAAGGTGATAATAGGACGAGTCCTTCTAGAACAGAGGTCAGTTAACTTTTTTGGGTATCACCCCAAAACATTCATGCACGGCGAAATTATCCACTAGACTTGAAAGTCCACAGAATCCGGAAAACACAAGGAATAAATTCAAAATAGTTTATTGAATCCATTTGTGTGGAGAATACAGCCATACAAGCTGAAACGTGTATTGTACGCGATAAAGCAACATAATTTGCCTCGCTTATTAAATAATAAATTTTTGTGCAATTTTATTAAAATGTTAATTGAGGCTTCATTATCCCCGAGATTTTCATTTTTACCCCATTTTGGGGTAATTTACCCCGGTTCCTGACCCTTGTTCTACAAGTACCACCGAAATAAAACAAACTCTAGAAAAAAAAAAACCTGGCAACGATTTAAAAGTGTCTCTTCGGGGATATTATTGCAATCAAAGCTAAGCGCTAAACCCACAAGGGTCATACAGCCTATCGTGGATATCTTTAAAATGGGAATCTATGATGTCTCGGTGACTCTTCCATATGACTACCTCACATTTCTCACGTATATTTTAAATATTCTTTCACAATCTTCATGTTGCCTAATTTTGCTTCCTGCCATTTCCTCTACTTTATCATCTACATTACAGTTCCATCCTTTATCACACCACTTGCTCAGTCTACTAAAATATTTCTGAAAATCAGTTGCTTCGACTGATTATTTTATCAAAGATCTTCGAATCATCTTCAGATATGTCAAGTAATTTATATACACTACTTATCACTTCTTATATTTTTACTTTCAAACAGAAAATCCTCACTCATTACCTGCATTGTTCGCCGCAACTGCATTGTTCACCACCACAACTGCATTGTTCACCACCACAACTTCAGTATTCACCACCACAACCTGCACCACCTCCCGTGTTGACCACAACCTGCATCAAGTGCAGTGTTCACCACCACAACCTGCATCACCTGCAGTATTTACCACCACAACCTACATAACCTGCAGTATTTACCACCACAACCTACATAACCTGCAGTATTTACCACCACAACCTGCATCACTTACAGTGTTGATCGCCACAACCTGCATCACTTCCAGTGTTATTCACAACCTGCATCACCTGCAGTATTAACCACAACCTGCATCATCTGCAGTGTTATTCACGACCTGCATCACCTGCAGTGTTATTCACAACCTGCATCACCTGCAGTATTAACCACAACCTGCATCACCTGCAGTGTTCACCGCCACAATGAGGACCACCAGCAGTGACCTAATACTTTCGATAGTGACCATTAGCACCAGAGGGTCACCATCAGCATCAGAGAGTCACCATCAACACCAGAAGGTCACCATCAGGACACACGAGCACTACATTATACAGACCACCACGTATAATTCAACACGTATCATTAAATGTCAAAGTGAAAAAGGCTCATCTGTTAGTGTGGGCGTGGGATATATGCTAGAGGGCGTGTAGGTGTGCGCGACCCTCTCTTCTCCTCCTCTCTCCTCTCTTTCCTCTCTGCCCTTCTCTCTTCCCTTCATACAGCAGAGGGTGAGCGGACAGCATGGGCTGGTTGCCTGGAAGATTGAATTACAAGTAAATATAGAATAATGAGAGCCTGGGTGCCCAGCGCTGGTAATGACTGCCTGGCCGCCCAGTGGGGGTATGCAGAGCATGCAACCATCAACTCCCTGGGTAAATCCAGCACGCAATTATACTGGAAAAGCCTTAGAAGATGATCCATTTTCTCTGCTGGAGATAGCGTACACGAGCCAGTCATCCCCAGGAGACCGCAAGCTAGCAATGGATATATCCGGAAGACGTGATGGATGTAGCGGAGGACGAGAGAGAGAGAGAGAGAGAGAGAGAGAGAGAGAGAGAGAGAGAGAGAGAGAGAGAGAGAGAGAGAGAGAGAGAGAGAGAGAGAGAGAGATTGATAGACTGAGATTATAGCTCCATTGTTAAATTGGACAAATTGAGCCATAGAAATGCGCTCTACTGTTGACCGTTAGTTACATCAGTATTTTTTAACAGTTTCAGCAGACTCTAGAGTCAGCAGACTGCACAGTCAGCAGACTGCAGAGTCAGCAAACTGTAGAGTCGGTAGTTACAGAAAGTGACACTGTTAGATGTCACTGGCACCTGCAGACAAAATTACCAGCTACACAGGGCGTGTTCAGCAAGCACACATACATGCACAACTTTGGATCAGGACGACGTACACCGGCGTCGTTGTTTACAGGCAAACAGGACAACATAAACTGACGTCGTTGCTTAGAGTCAGCTATGACAATTATAAATGTCACACAGTACACGGGCAGTTTTAGCGTCTACGAGGCTTTATCTAGGATGATTCTACCTGTCCATGATACCCAGCCACGCACCATCTGCTTCATTATCCATGTTTCATTAACACTGTCCACCAGCAGTTTCAGTTCTCTTAAAATCTCGCCTCTATAAATGCTGTGTTTCTAGTTCTTTATATTCAGTGGCGATAAGTTTCCTTTGATTAAATGTTCTAAACGTGTACATGTTTTTACTTCTTCACACAACCATCCTCCCTCTACTAGCAACACTGCGACTAGCCGAGGATTTGAACCCATGTCATTTTGGCCGTGCTTCGTGGTGAGCGACAATCACATGACGCTCTAACCCACATGACCACCCTCGTGGGTGGTCATGTGGGTTAGAGCGTCATGTGATTTTCGCTCACCACGAGGCAGGACGAAAACGACATGGGTTCGAATCAAACCATACCACGGGCGGGGATAGAACCCGTGATCACAGTCTCAAAACTCCAGACCGTCGCTTTAGCCACTGGACCAACTAGCTACAATAAGATTCATCCAACTAGGTATGTTTCTACACCATAGGAAGGTTAACGTAGGCACCACTGTGGCCCAGTGGCTAACGCGACGGTCTGGAATTTTGAGACTGCTCGCGGGTTCTATCCCCGGCCGTGGTATGGTTTGTTTGCAGTCGTGTCATTACGATTTCGTGAGTCACGGGTTCGAATCCTCGGTTAGTCGCAGTGTTGTTATTGTTTCAATACCACTCGTTCGTGGTCACAATATTATATATAAAACAGCACTGCACTAGCCAAGGAGTCGAACGCATGCTGTTTTGGCCCGCCTCATGGTGAGAGAAAACGCATGACGCTTTAGACCACTAAACTAGTGGTCTAAAGCGTCATGCGACTCCTTGGCTAGTGCAGTATTATTATTAAAGATTCGCCGGTATTCTCCCGGCCCGGGCCGTTTCCAAGTGGTGGCTCGGCCTTGGCTCCCTGTCTAGGGAGTGTCTGAGACCTAAGTCTCCCATGGGAGGAGGCACAAGTAGCCCCTCATCTTTGGGACCAACTGTCCCCAGGCCTAGCCACAAGCTAGGCCTCTCTGGTCTGCCATCCCCGCCCCAAGGGGGCTAATGGGAATGAAAGTCTTGTGAGCTGAAAGCTCGGGCTCAAGCACCTATCCTACCCTAGAAGGGCTGGGCATGGTGTCGATCGGCTAGTGCAGTGTTGTTATTGATCAGTAGCACTTGTTCCGTGTGCACAATAATAGTGGCTAACGCGACGGGCTGGAGTTTTGAGACTCTATGACCGCGGGTTCAATCCCGGCCGGGGGTATGGTTTATATATATATATATATATATATATATATATATATATATATATATATATATATATATATATATATATATATATATATATGCTGGATAAATGACCATCTGGTCTATCAACAAGCTAGATCAAAATTATTTCAAATATGTATGAATGTATCATCGAAACTAACAAGGCTCCATATTTTTCTTTTATTTTACCAGAGCCTGCGAGCACTCCTGTGTAGACACTACAACCACAGAAAACGACTGACCACCCATTACGTTGTCGGAGGATGGACTATGTTCTGAGTGAAGACCAGGCACTGAGAAGACCAGGCACTGAGAAGACCAGGCACTGAGAGGACCAAGCACTGAGAAGACCAGGCACTGAGAGGACCAGGCACTGAGAAGACCAGGCACTGAGAGGACCAGGCCCTGAGAAGACCAGCACTGAGGACCAGGCCCTGAGAAGACCAGGCACTGAGAGGACCAGGCCCTGAGAAGACCAGGACTCAGAATACCTGCAGGTACTGTATAGTAGTTGTTTATTTAACGTGGGACTCTTAGTAATGTTTAGGTACTAACACATGAACTTTGAAAAAATACACTTTATACTGTTCCAATTTTGTCATGTTTAACAATCGTTTCAGTAGGTACACAATAATAATAATAATAATAATAATAATAATAATAATAATAATAATAATAATAATAATAATAATAATCTTTATTTACAAGTACATGTACATGGTATACAGTCCTAACTAACATCAATGACATACTACTATATAGAAAGCCGCTTGTTATGCTGAGCATTTCGGGCAAATTAGGTCAGTGTCCCAGGATGCGACCCACACCAGTCGACTAACACCCAGGTACCCATTTTACTGATGGGTGAACATAGACAACAGGTGTAGAGAAACACGCCCAATGTTTCTACCCTGGTTGGGACTAACTTAAGAAAACCCAACAAAGGTATTGGATCTGATTTTCATTGGTGATTGTGCACCTATGTGAATTTTGTTTTTGTGAATAAATGCACTAATATCCCTTACATAGGAGACTGAATTGTAAATTGTTACAGTCATGGTATTGTGCCTTTTTTTCTTTTTGTAAATAAATATTTGATTTTATGTGGAGCATCCTGAAGTAATACAGTATATATATATATATATATAGGTAGTAGGTTGGTAGACAGCAACCGCCCAGGGAGGTACTACCGTCCTGCCAAGTGAGTGTAAAACTGAAGCCTGTAATTGTTTTACACGATGGTAAGATTGCTGGTGTCTTTTTTTTGTCTGTCTCATACACATGCAAGATTTCAGGTATGTCTTGCTACTTCTACTTACACTTAGGTCACACTACACATACATGTACAAGCATATATATACACACCCCTTTGGGTTTTCTTCTATTTTCTTTCTAGTTCTTGTTCTTGTTTATTTCCTCTTACCTCCATGGGGAAGTGGAACAGAATTCTTCCTCCGTAAGCCATGCGTGTTGTAAGAGGCGACTAAAATGCCGGGAGCAAGGAGCTAGTAACATCTTCTCCTGTATATATTACTAAATGTAAAAGGAGAAACTTTCGTTTTTCCTTTTGGGCCACCCGCCTCGGTGGGATACAGCCGGTGTGTTGAAAGAAAGAAGAAGAATATAATATATATATATATATATATATATATATATATATATATATATATATATATATATATATATGTGTGTGTGTGTGTGCAAATAAGGTCACAGTAAACAGGTGATATCGCGATATGCAGAATAACCGCTGTGAAAAATAGTAGAATTCCAAGCGCTTTCGTGGTTTCTCACATATTATCTGGAGTTTACCTGGAGAGAGTTCCCGGGGTCAACGCCCCCGCGGCCCGGTCTGTGACCAGGTTTCATGGTGGATCAGAGCCTGATCAACCAGGCTGTTACTGTTGGCTGCACCCAACCCAATGTACGAGCCACAGCCCGGCTGGTCAGGTACCGACTTTAGGTGTCCAGTGCCTGCTTGAAGACAGCCAGGGGTCTATTGGTAATCCCCCTTATGTATGCTGGGAGGCAGTTGAACAGTCTCGGGCCCCTGACACTTATTGTATTGTCTCTTAACGTGCTAGTGACACCCCTGGTTTTTACTGGCGGGATGTTGCATCGTCTGCCGAGTCTTTTGCTTTCGTTGTGAGTGATTTTCGTGTACAAGTTCGGTAGTAGTCCCTCTAGGATTTTCCAGGTGTATATAATCATGTATCTCTCCCGCCTGCGTTCCAGGGAGTACAGGTTCAGGAACGTCAAGCTCTCCCAGTAATTGAGGTGTTTTATCTCCGTTATACGCGCCGTGAAGGTTCTCTGTACATTTTCTAGGTCAGCAATTTCACCTGCCTTGAAAGGTGCTGTTAGTGTGCAGCAATATTCCAGCCTAGATAGAACAAGCGACCTGAAGAGTGTCATCATGGGAATCAAGGAACTATGATAATATTTCCTTGATAATGTGACAAATCACGAAAGCGCTTGGTATTTTACTATTTTTTTCACAGTGATTATTCTACATGTAATATATATTATATATATATATATATATATATATATATATATATATATATATATATATATATATATATATATATATATATATATATTACATGTAGAATAATCACCTTGTAGATTGGTAAAGCACTGCGTACCTTGTTCCGAGGTTCGTAGGTTCGAGCCTCCTTCAGCCAGAGATCAGTGTTTTATGTATATTTCGCCTGCTCTTGCGAATTACTTATATACATATATATATATATATATATATATATATATATATATATATATATATATATATATATATATACATATATATATTATATATATATATATATATATATATATATATATATATATATATATATATATATATATATATATATATATATAATCTTGCCGAATAGGTGAAACTGGTCATTTAGCAAGAACTCATTTAAAATTAAGTCCTTTCTAAAACTTTCTCTTATATATTTAAAGATATATATAGTTTTTTTTCATTTATGTTAATGTAAAAATTAATAATTTTGTACCAAAGCACCTTAGAAAACTTACCTAACCTTATTATAGCAAGCGCAGTTTAATTTAGCCTAATCCAACTAAATTTATTTTTGATAAGTTTACAGTAATTTAATAATAAACAAACACAATGCAATTTATTTAAGCCAAAGCCAAAATCGCAAGTTTAACCTATTAGGCACGATATATATATATATATATATATATATATATATATAATATTATATATATATATATATATAATATATATATATATATATATATGGGTTTGATGGCCTAATAGTTAATGTGCCAGTTAGGTAATCCAGGCTTATTGCTCAGTAGTGACTTTAACTCGCGCAATCGAATGGCCTGGGTTTAATCCTGGGCAGGTCGATAGGTATTGCCAAGTCTCTTCATTTGTTACCTAGCATTATATAGACACGAGCTTTGAGATGCACTTGTAAATTCATGAAAGTTGTCTTTCTCTCACACTGAGTTTCCGTGGTTCAGTCCCCGGCATGGGTGAAATGTGGGCATGTTTCCTTACACCTGCTGCCCCTGTTCACCTAGTAGTACGTAGGTACCTGGCTGTTAGTCGACTGGTGTGGTTCGCATCTTGCGGGATAGGATTGAGAGACCCCAATGGATATAAGACGGAGTCCTCGATGACGCACTGACTTTCTTGGGTTATCCTGGGTGGCTAACCTTCTGGGATAAAAATCCGAACAAATCTTATCATACTCTCCACATTCAGCCCCAGGATGAAAATTCCAGCCCTGCACTCTCTTTCTCTCTCTCACATACACACATGACAGTCTTCAGGTTGCCCAAGAATACCATCACTGCTAATGTGTTGTGATAGCTGTCCACCATAGTGGGAGCAGGAAACAGTCTTCATGGTGCTCTCTGTGTGAGCTATCCTGTACCATACGACAGGAAAAAGGGAACACGTCCTTCATGGTGCTCAGTGAGAGTCCTCCACCTATACCATTATAGTAGTAAGAGGAAGAACGCCCTTAATATTTCATTATGTTAGCAGGCCACTAACATTATGGGAGTATAAGGAAACAGTCTTCATGGTGCCCTGTGAAAGCCGTCCACCTATACCATAATAGTAGCAAGGTGAAATGGAGTTTGAAATGCATTTTAAGGGGAAAAATTACCAAGATATCAATATTTCTATTTCATAACCTTCAAAGTCCAACATCTGCGTGTGATAATTTACAATACATCAATGTTTAACATACGTGAAATGCTGCAACACACATCCCTCACCACCTCCTTCGGTTTTGCATTCAAAGGGAACGCTAAATCCGTCTGGGAAATGAGAGGTAATCAGAGCTGTTTCAAAGGGAATTTGGCACCAGTTACTTGGAATAAGAACCCTTCACTAGCATCAAGGATCCCTTACCCCCATCCCCCACAGTCTTGAAAAATTTCACTGCTTAACAAAATACGTTTTTCAAACGCCTCTCTCATATACAGAAATCACTTTCAACATTCTGATCTTGTAAAACATTCTGAATTTTCTGGCGAGGTTTGGGAAGTACCGTATTGGTGTCATCATTAAGGTGGCAACAGACATAAATCCATCCATTATTCTCTTGCAAATCTTGTTCACCTTTTAATGTTGCTAGCTAAGTATGTCAGTACTACATGCGATACTAGCTAAGTATGTCACTTCTACACAATAATTGCTACGTACAGTCTATCACTTCTACACAATATTAGCTACGCACAGTACATCATTCTACACAGGCTATTAGATAAGTACCTTACTTCTACACACAACAACAACGCATTTCCGCCAGCAAGAGTGGAGTGAGAGCGTCAAGCAGCGCCCGCCAACCCACTTGGTTTCCTCCTGGAGAAGCCTGCAGCATGCGTAACGGGATTACAGATCATTCAGAAGCTCTATGAGGAGTATATCCATGCTAGTTATTATTTTTCTATCTATTTCTATCTGTGGCTGCTCCGACACCAGGGTGAGTGGTGTACATGAATGGTATACAATACCGACAAGATGAAGAATTAGACACGTACCTGGAGTATACCTGGAGAGGGTTTGAGGGGTCAACGCCCCGGCGGCCATGTGCAACATCTGGGTATCTTTACTTATAGACGTTTCGCCATTCAGTGGTTTTATCAATACAAATTCAAGTGCTCTTCAACTTGAGTCAAGATTACGGTGTTCTTCACCAACTCCAAGGCTGAGGGACTGATTACCACTTCTTTTGTATATAGCTCTACAGTCTTCCCATTATGTCATTGAATTTGTATTGATAAAGCCACTGAATGGCTAAACGTCTATAAATAAAGATGTCCAGATGTTGTACATGTGTCTAATTCTTCACGGTGAATGGTGTATATTGTGGTGGTGTATCGTTGGCGTTCCTTCCCTTCCTGTGTACTCACCTAATTGTGGTTGCAGGAGTCGAGACTCAGCGTGCGTGTGTGTGTGTGTGTGTGTGTGTGTGTGTGTGTGTACTCACCCATTTGTGGTTGC